TAACCGTAAGTTCATGTATATTTAAGTAATCGGGTGTGCGGGTTATGATAAGGTGGACTTCAGTAATTTGGATTCTTGCACTTCACTTGGTGGACTTAATATTAGAATGTTAGGGCTTGTAATCCAAGTGAGAATATATACATTTTAAGACCTAACCAGGAACGACTGCAAAAAATGCAGCACAAGGTCCTCTGGTAGGAATTGAACCTACTGCCCTGCGATTCCGGTGCAGCTCTCTAACCAACTGAGCTACAGAGGCCAGCTGTTGAGCTTTAACCGTAAGTTCATGTATATTTAAGTAATCGGGTGTGCGGGTTATGATATTTAAGGTGGACTTCAATAATTTGGATTCTTGCACTTCACTTGGTGGACTTAATATTAGAATGTTAGGGTTTGTAATCCAAGTAAGAATATATACATTTTAAGACCTAACCAGGATCGACTGCGAAAATGCAGCACAAGGTCCTCTGGCAGGAATTGAACCTGCGGCCCTGCGATTCCGGTGCAGCACTCTAAACAACTGAGCTACAGAGGCCAGCTGTTGAGCTTTAACCATAAGTTCATGTATATTTAGGTAATCGGGTGTGCGGGTTATGATAAGGTGGACTTCAATAATTTGGATTCTTGCACTTCACTTGGTGGAATTAATATTAGAATGTTAGGGTTTGTAATCCAAGGGAGAATATATACATTTTAAGACCTAACCAGGAACGACTGCGAAAAATGCAGCACAAGGTCCTCTGGTAGGAATTGAACCTACGGCCCTGCGATTCCGGTGCAGCGCTCTAACCAACTGAGCTACAGAGGCCAGCTGTTGAGCTTTAACCATAAGTTCATGTATATTTAAGTAATCGGGTGTGCGGGTTATGATAAGGTGGACTTCAATAATTTGGATTTTTGCACTTCACTTGGTGGACTTAATATTAGAATGTTAGGGTTTGTAATCCAAGTGAGAATATATACATTTTAAGACCTAACCAGGAACGACTGCGAAAAATGCAGCACAAGGTCCTCTGGTAGGAATTGAACCTATACGGCCCTGCGATTCCAGTGCAGCGCTCTAACCAACTGAGCTACAGATGCCAGCTGTTGAGCTTTAACCGTAAGTTCATGTATATTTAGGTAATCGGGTGTGCGGGTTGTGATAAGGTGGACTTCAATAATTTGGATTTTTGCACTTCACTTGGTGGACTTAATATTAGAATGTTAGGGTTTGTAATCCAAGTGAGAATATATACATTTTAAGACCTAACCAGGATCGACTGCGAAAAATGCAGCACAAGGTCCTCTGGTAGGAATTGAACCTACGGGCCTGCGATTCCGGTGCAGCGCTCTAACCAACTGAGCTACAGCTCGGCCAGCTGTTGAGCTTTAATCATAAGTTCATGTATATTTAGGTAATCGGGTGTGCGGGTTATGATAAGGTGGACTTCAATAATTTGGATTCTTGCACTTCACTTGTTGGGATTAATATTTGAATGTTAGGGTTTGTAATCCAAGTGAGAATATATACATTTTAAGACCTAACAAGGAACGACTGCGAAAAATGCAGCACAAGGTCCTCTGGTAGGAATTGAACCTACGGCCCTGCGATTCCGGTGCAGCGCTCTAACCAACTGAGCTACAAGAGACCAGCTGTCGAGCTTTAACCGTAAGTTCATGTATATTTAGGTAATCGGGTGTGCGGGTTGTGATAAGGTGGACTTCAATAATTTGGATTCTTGCACTTCACTTGGTGGAATTAAAATTAGAATGTTAGGGTTTGTAATCCAAGTGAGAATATATACATTTGCATATTCTCACTTGGATTACAAACTATTCTCATTTGGATTACAAAATATATACACCAAATATATACATGTACTATACCGGTACATTTGTATATTCTCACTTGGATTACAAAATATTCTCACTTGGATTACAAAATATATACATGTATATATTCTCACTTGGATTACAAACCCTAACATTCTAATATTAATTCCACAAGTGAAGTGCAAGAATCCAAATTATTAATTTCAAATGCCCCGCCGGGGCTAAGGTTCGAGTGGAAATGCCCAACCCCCGGGATGTGCTTTACAGGAAAATGGCTGGGCGAGGGGGATGGGCACACTTGGATTTGGCTGATGCATTAAAAGTCCTGTGCTTATTCCAGACTGCTTGTCAAATATTTACTTGCTAGAAATTGCTAGAAGTAGAAATTTACTCTGACCGCTGGATGAAGAAGACATTAAATAAGTACTGGTCAATAAACAGAAATGTATTTTATTTCATAGTATTACAATTTTATTTTTATACTATAAAAATAAAATATAAACATGCAGCATAGAATATGCAAATTCGAGGCAAAATTATTGTTGAATCGGTTTATTTATAGGATTTATAACAAATAGCAACTATAAAAGTTTGTACCTTGTCTTCACATCGTAATAGCCAATGCTTTTAATTTTACATATTTTAGAATCAGTTCCTTTCCTGGTAACTGCATTTCTAAATGAAATCATCGTGAGTAGTGAGTGCTGAGCAGGCTGTTTTACTATAAACAAATTTTAGGAATTGTTAACAACTTTGAAAAATATATCGTTGCACATTCGGTCACAGTCGGAAAAATGTTCATAGTATGTTGTACCGTCGTTTGCAACTAACGATGAACAGTCGCTCATAAAAACATTCGCGTGATTAGAATCTTCAATGTTTGTCAAGAACAACAACACTTAATTGTTGTTTCCCATGTGTGCAATAAAAATAAGTAACAAAACTTTGTCTGAACTTGTTGGGCTAGAGACCTACTGGAAACTTTTACAGGCTTTTTAATGAGAATAGAGAATGTTTTATCTGCAACTGTTCACCCTTAGTTGCCACCGACGGTATTTGACAGCATAAAATTGCCCTGTGGCTGTGATAACTGATATAAATAAAATACAGTCTGGTTATACTGACTTGAGCGTGTCATGACAAACTCTTTATTGGAAAATTGTGAAGAAATAGTCGAATATAGAGGGTCGAATATCATACTTAAACTTGTATAGCTACAGTATCATTGGTACATAGCGTTGTGAAGACAAGCCTTTGCTTTAATACCTTTCGCTTCAGCAGTCTTTTTTTCCATACTTCTCTACGCTTTCCCAGGCGAGCTTCTCTTTCCTCAGCAGTCTCCTCGAGCAAACGTTGTCGTCTTCGCTGGCTCCCTCCTTTTCGCGAGACGTTCGGCTTTCTTGTCGTTTCCTTGCCGCTCTTCATTTGGCTCCATACAGTAGTCCATATCTTTTCAATTGGTATTTGATACCATAATTGTTTTATTAAACTCTTTATAGAGCAAATTGCTTTGAAAGCTGTCAAAGTTTTTTGCAAACGTACAAAATACTGCAGTGCAAAAAGCAAAATATTTTCATGAAGTATCTGTCAGTTGAAGTCGTCATTCGTCGTACAACAACAAATTTTAAATTTGACCAATCAGTGTTCGCTATTCATGACAGTCCGCCATATTTTTGAGATCAGTGAGGATGACCACCCACCGAAACACGCACAGTGACCCACGCCCGCGATATTTGATGAACTTCAGACTTCCCTAATGCTTTCGTTTCCCCGGGTGTAAATAGCCGGGGGGAATTAGTACCCTCGCACGGCGCTTCGCGCCGCCGGCTCGGGGATTATTGTTTTGGGGACCCGCGTCCCCAGGAACAAAAATTACATTCATTTCATAGTAAATATCGCGATTTTCGAAAGTTTATTATTCGAAAAGTATCATCTCACGCCTTCAAACTTTGTATGCTTACTAGTTTGGAGGGGGTCTTTTTAGTGATTTGGCTAATTTCTTATTCGGGCAGTTTTTAACACTCGTTCCCAGCCCTCTCATCATCTTCCGAATGGCCAATTGGATACCGAACTGCAACTTCAGGTATCATAGCAACACGTGGATACGCCATTATGACGCCATATTAACCTACTTCTTGATTTCCCCGAGCGGGCGGCGCGAAGCGCCGTGAGAGGGTACTAATTCCCCCCGAGTATTTACACACGGGGAAACGAAAGCATTAGCGAAGTCTAAAGTTCATCAATGAGTGCGGGCGTCGGTCACCAACGATGGGTGGTCATCCTCACTGATCTCAAAAATATGGCGGACTGTCATAAATAACGGACACTGATTGGTCCAATTTAAAGTTTGCATTACAACGACTGCATGACGACAGCGAAATAGCAAACATTTCTTGATTTCATGATTGATAAATTTCTTGCAAATATATTTCATTTTTGCTCGTATTTCTGCAAGATTTTGTAAATTTCAAGAAAGAAAGGGCGAAAGAATCAGCTAAAAGAAGGGAGCCGACGTTAACGAAAGTAAGTTTGTTTTAAATATTGATTTTATAATGGCTTTAAAACCCGACGGCCTTTGCGTATATGAAACAACTAAACAAGACAGCATATAATTTCAGTGTATCTTTAATATTGATTCCCTTTTTTATTATATTGAATTTTTAAATAAAAAATAAAGCAAAGTTATTTGCAAGCGAGAATTTGAAATCATTTTATTGCAAACTCAAATTTATCGATAAAGCCATTTAATAGTTAAAGGCAGTTTAGTTTTATAAAGAACACTTTAAAACGTTTTGTGAATTGTTTGTGGTTGAATTTTACCTTAAATTGAAGCTTGTATTGCGTATAATTACATATCTAACATATATATGTTGGGAAATTGATAATTTTGTAATTAAAAGTGATATTTTTAGGCGATTTTCATTTGTAAGAATATTCTTAAAAAATTATCGTGTTACCATGACAACGACTTTAGATACTTCATGTTCGGAAAATACAACGGTTTTGTCAGCAAGGCGAGAGTTTCTTCATGCATGTATTTTCTAGTCTATAATACAAAGAAATTTCTTATGTATATTTCCTAAAACCATCGTTTTGGTACGGTTATACGAAAGGTGAATGTATATCTGTAGGATAAGTCGCTATCCAGGGAATACATTTCATCCAGAGTAAAAATCACGTATTACGAAGCTTTGATTCGTTTATCTAACGGATAAAAATTACAACCGTTTAATACATTTATGCAAGGTCCTGGAGTAGTCTAAATACTACTACTATTTGAATTTGTAGATTACGACATCTGTTAATGTCATGGTTCCCCCATTTTGAATACCGCTACGTTTTATTCATAATTACATAAATGGTCTAAAAATAACGGAAATGTTAAGTAACTTAAGCTTTGGGCTCAAAAGTTGGCAAACCATTGAAAAAAGTTGCATACAAATTTGAAAAGTAATATGGCTTGAAACGTGAGAATTATCTTCGCTGTCATGGCAACATGACTTTATAAGTAAAGCAATCACTACACTATTGTATTTCCTGATATTTTTTTGGAAAAATTGTGATTTCTCATTATTTAAATTAATACGTTATGGTGTTATAACAATTTACTCCCCCCCCCCCCAGTCTGGATACGGTTAAATATTGACAGCTTGCTAGTAATCGGAGCGGACATTGGCGCTTATCAGCAACGCTGGTTACTCTTAAAGTGACGCACGGAATTGTAAATGACAAAAGTGAATAGCGAAAGAAAAAAGCTGGACATTATCTCCGTTCTTGATTTATACATCTAAGGCTCTTATTTTAAAACTCTTTCTCGTACGTCGGCAAAATGTCAAAATCTTGTATAAAACCGATTTTGCATTCGGTTTATCTCAGCGAACTCTTACCTGCAAGTAACGTAAAACACATGGTACGAAAGCACAAGGATGAAAATATGCAATGACTTTTTCGTTCAATCCAAATATGACACACCTCAATACCTTAAAACAATACAGAATGCGACATTTCAGAGTAATCCGATAAAATCTGTGCTTGTTCTTGACATTTGAATTGGAGGGAGGGTGCATGTTATTCTTTATTTATTTATTTAGCTTTGCCAACTAGGGCGGGGTCACCACAACAGCATATGGCGATCACTGTGGGCCCTTTGTCTAAGCCACCCTGTTAACTTTCCCTGTGCTTCGCCAACTATTGCGGTCTTATGTCAATCCTGCTATCCAGCGGAAGCTCCCTGAAATGCGTAACGTGAATGTTTTGCAATGTTTTGAAATGACCAAGTGGGAATAAACGAGCCAGTTCTAATAGAAACTCATAAGTGTTTCGCCTATGGGTTAAACTTTTAATTTCGACGCTTGAATAGTCGTTATTGTCAAAATAAATGGTTTTAAGCACAGAAAACATTACAATATTTCGTCGAGTTTTAAGTTATTTAACACGGCTGACCTTTGGTTGAGCTTTTAGTTTGGCAACAGCCAAATGGCTCAACTTCTACCGCTGGCACTCAGCACGGATTGTTTTTCGTGCATCCCAGAAGCGTTTGCAGGGTTGAAAAATACACATCGTGGCGATCATTTTGGTACCAAGCACAACCTACTGCGAGTGATATTTCGCCTTCAATTTAGCTTTTAAACGCACTAAAATTTGCGGCGATACGACCAGATATTAACAGCGCATAATATTCTAAGTGTCTACGAAAATTCATGATATTTGATGGTAAATACGAAAAACTTCTTCAATGTTTTATGTGCCCAATTTTTGTGAGCAGCTAGCGAGGATCCTCAAGGTTGGCGTTCTATTTGAGCAAATCACATAGCAGTCACAGAAATTTAGAAATTGAACAAGGAAACTCGGTAATCGAACGGATTTCAGGCGGCCGAGTTAGTATACAAGTCTATAGAAGTAAAGCGTTCAGAAGCTGAATGTCGAAACGAAAAACTTAATAAGGTTTTAACAGTTATTTTTTTCGACAGTTTTGTTTGTATGCGATGTAGGAATACTACTCCATTTGAGCAAATAAAATAATCGAAATATCTTTTTGTCAATTCGATGTTTTTAGTTTGACTCCTATGTATTTTATAGATTTCTTTGCCTAAAATATATTGACTTTTACGGGGGTATCCGCTGGCGCACTGCTGACTCAATGTCCGAAATAGTTGGCGATGGGAGGAAAGCGGAGTACCCAGGGGAAACCCACGACTTTCGGCAAAGCGTTCACTTTTACCCTTTTCACACGAGGACAGGCTTCGAGTCGCATTGAGAAAGTTCTCACTGAAGTTTGAACCTGCGGCCTCAGAGGTGAAAGGCAAGTGCGCTAACCACTTGACCACCGAAGCCCCATAAATTCTTATTTGCAGCTGAGAGCTAAGCTGAATTGCGAAGGACGCAGCTCAATATGTGATCGAGCGGAAGGCTTTGTAGGGGCGCCTCTGGCAGGCGCCTTACGACTCATGCCTGATTAGGGAGCACAGCTGCAATGGAAGGGTTAGTTTAGGGTTAATCCCAGCTTAGGGGATAATCCAATTCAACCCTGCCAATATTCCCCTTGGTAGGAAACGGGAGTATCCGGAGTATACTCACGACTTTCCGAAGAGCGTTAACTGATACTGAAATTGGAATCAAACCCACGATATTATAGATAGATAGATAGATAGATAGATAGATAGTTTATTAAGATATATCATTGCAGCCAAAATGGCTGAATTGCATATAAATTTACATAATATAAAAGTTAAAAGTGATTAAAATAGTGATAAACTAATTTTACATGAAATATCCAATAAGTATAAATATAAACTAGGATTAAAAAGTTTTCCTACTTGAATTACTAAATATAAAACTATTTTTTAGTCTGTTTGTTTTACACACAGGAAAGTTAAACATACGTCTGTTCCTTAGTCCAATATCAGTTTCGTTTAGTTTCGGCACCAGATAATGCAGTTTATGGTTGGGATCAGAACATATCTCTTCAAAGAGTTTATTCGTTAGGTATTCTCTTCTTTCGTATGAAGAAAATAAGTTACTGTTCTTCAGTGCGTCCTGATAATTAATATTTGGGAATATAATTTGCATTGCGCGTTTTTGGATACGTTCTAATTCATCTGACAAATACGTGGATAATCCGTTGTGGAAAACAGGACAGGCGTATTCGGTTATAGGCCGGTACAAGTCTTGTAGAAAGTTAAAAGTTCCTTTTCGGCAACTTTGGCACGTTTTAGTTGCCTCAGGAAATACAACCGAGTGGAAGCTTTTTTTGCAATTTCCTCTATATGATGGTTCCATTTAAGATTATTGGAAATGTTCAGACCCAGTAATTTGATGGTAGTCACAATTTCTATTGGTTTATCATTGATAACAATAGGTGCGTATTCAGGGTGATTTTTTGTAAAAGAAATCGGAAGCTCTTTGCATTTCTTCTCATTAAACTGGAATTTGTTCCTATACGTTTTTTCCGTTAATTCATTTACTATATTCTGGATCTTACTTGTCTCTCCTTTTTCTACCATCTCAGCGGCTGTGGTATCGTCCACATATTTCCACAAGTCTGTATTGGTGGTGTCTATATCGTCAATCATCAACACGAACAACCAAGGCCCTAACTTTGTTTCTTGGGGAACTCCTGCCGGCACATTTTTCCATTCCGATTTACAGTCCTGTGACAATTTTACCCTTTGTTTGCGGCATTTCAGGAAATCAACGATCCAACTGATAATATTATGGGCGATATTTAGATCTTTTAGCTTTCGAACCAATATATTGTGATCGATTAGGTCGAAAGCTTTCCTGAAATCGAAAACAACCACTCTGACTGTAGAGCCAGTTCCGTCCGTATACTTGCTCCATGTGTGTATCATGCTGATCAAAGCCTGGGTTGTCGATGATTTTGGAATTGAGCCAAATTGGTTACTTTTAATCTTTTTTAAAACCGCCGGTTTGACATATTCTTGTATGATGAACTCCTCAGCAACTTTAGAAAGTATTGGCGTGAGGGAAATTGGTCTTAAGTGTTTGCTGACGTCTTTTACAATTCTTTGTTTCGGTACTGGAACTATATCCGCTTCTTTCCATGATGGTGGTAACCTACTTTCGCGGAAGGAGCTGTTTATAATTTCTGCTATAGGTTCTGCAAGAAGGTCTGCATTCTCCTTCAGTAGCCAGGCCGGGAGGCCATCTGGACCTTGAGCTTTTGTTGGATTCAACAACGACAACTTCATAAAAACAGAGTGAACGGATAAAACAAATAGTGCGGATGAAGGGATATCTTGTTCGAGTTGAAAATCGTGTGGAAGAGGTGAGAAAATCTTCATCGGAAGAATAAAAGCATCATTAACTATATTAGCTAGGTCAGATGTGCTTGAGGCCTCTTCTATGAATCGGAGAGAGTTCATTACATCATTTTGTCTCCCAGATGCAGAGGACATGCTGCTTAACTTTTTAATTTCTTTCCACCACTTTGCTGGTTTACAATCTTTTAAATGTTCAACTTTTGCTTCATAGTACTTTGATCGGCACACTTTTCTCTCTCGATTCACACAATTTCTTAGGCGTCGAAATTCAATTAAGTTCCCTTGACTAAGGGCTCGCTGGCGTTGCTTGATTAATTTTTTAAAGGTTGAATTAATCCATGGGGGCTTATTTAGATGGATAGTTCTAGTTCGTAGGGGAACTACTTGGTCTAAACCGTTCTTTAGGATTGATTGAAAAATCTCTAATTTTTCAGCGCACGTATCTTTGGTTTTAACTAGGGCAGCAACATCTATTTCTTGAAAGTATG